GGGAGAGAAACATCAATGATGAGAGAGAATCACAGATCGGCTGCCTCCTGCCCGCCCCACACTGGGGATGGAGCCTGCCACCTGGGCATGTGCCCTGATGGGGAATCCAACCGTGACCTCCTGGTTCATAGGGTCACCGCTCAACCACTGAGCCACACCGTAGGCAGGAATTTGACCTCCCATCTGCACAGCTTACAATAGCAGGCTTCCGAGAGAATCCGGTGAAGCCGTCGCCTAAAGGATGGAAGTGGGGGGAAGGGCCCAGGCCAGTGGGGGAGGGAGGGATGGGGCGAGGAGTCCTGAGTTGTCCTTAGGGGGCCTTAGGGTCGCCATCATTGCCTCTGTGCATCTCTAGGGTCCATGCAGATGAAGGGCTATAGGAGGCCTTAATGTGACGCACCACACTTTCGCCGTTTTAAGTCCAAAGGACGTTTTGTTTACACTTTCAAACTTTAGGACAGGACAGAGACTACTCGTCCATTTGCTAGGGGCAGAAATAGAACATTGAGGTCCAACTGTCATTGTGTGAAATAGTCATCGCACTCTGTTCCCTGAGGGTCGTGTCTCTTGTGAAACAGTTTGCACATCCGTGGCTGGAGGATAGGGTAAATGATTAATATTCAGAAGTCAGCTTTGCAGTACAATTTCTCAGGAATTCAGTTCTTTCATGTCCCACCTTCACTTTTTCCTCGACTACCCGGGAAGCAGATGCCCCGAGAAACCGTATCTGAGAAGACACAGCAGGCCCCTCTCTACAAGTGCCTTTGAGATAGGGATTCATAAAAAATAGCAGACCCTGCCCTGGCTGGTTTGGCTCAGTGGATAGAGCGTCGGCCTGCGGACCAAAAGGTCCCAGGTTCGATTCTGGTCAAGGGCATGTACCTTAGTTGCAGGCACATCCCCAGTGGGAGGTGTGCGGGAGGCAGCTGATCGATGTTTCTCTCCCATCGATGTTTCTGGCTCTCTATCCCTCTCCCTTCTTCTCTGTAAAAAATCAATAAAATATATTTTGAAAAAATAGCAGACCCACAAAACAGTAAAAAAAATATACATATATTTCGTACACACCCAGGGCAGTCAGTGAAAAGCTTATGTGAATCCAGTACTAAGGATGAAAATTGTGGATTATACGCTTCTTTTTTAGAAATGCAGAAAATAGTGGGATAAGAGCCTGGGAAACAGGAAAGTTACGTTTCCATGGAAACAATCATTTACCCACAATGCCCAGTATTCCATGTGTATGAGAACTCGTGTGTGTGTAAAAATGATGGCTGACACATATCGAGCACGTGCCGGAGCACTGCTCTACGTGCTGGCTATGGAAACTCCAACACAACCAGGCGAAGGAGGGACTGTCCTTTCCTGAGTGTCAGAGGGAGAATCTCAAGATCAGGTGGGCAGTGGAGCCGGGATCAAATCCCGCCTCCCCCCTAACCTCTCCATTGTGTGGTCTTCTGAGCTATCGTGGCATAATTAGAGCCAGACCAAATCATGTGTGGCCGGGGGAGCAGGAGGGGATTTTAAATATTTCTAGTTTGTTCCATCTTAAGATGCTGGTGTTTCTCACATGTGTCACCTTAATGCCATTAACAGCTGGAGATGGTAATTAACTAATTCTTTTACAAATATATTTTTTTACTAGAGGCCCAGTGCATGAAATTTGTGCACTGGTAGGGTCCCCAGCAGCTGCCTGCTGCGGGCTGGGGCCTCCGTCCCTTCCCCCAGCCGGCCCCGCCCCCTGGTTGAACTCCCCAAGGAACTCCTGGTCGAGGGGACAATTTGCATACTATGCATTTATTATATAGGATTGATTTTTAGAGAGAGAGGAAGGGAGAGAGGGAGAGAGAGAGAAACATTGTTGTGAGAGTGAAACATCGACAGCAGCTTTCTGTGCGCCTCTACCAGGGATCAGGCCTGCAACCCAGGCATGTGCCCTAACCGGGAATCGAACCGGCAACCTTTTGGTGCATTGAAAGATGCCCAACCAACCCAGTCACATGAGCCAGGGCATAAGCAATTCTTATGAAGAAAAGAAGGACTCAAAATAAATATTTTCGAAGCTTTTACTTCCACCGTGAGATAACAGAATGCAATTACAGGATCACTCAACAGTGGCACAGAGGCAGCGGGCTGCATGATGCAATGATTGATTTTTGAAATTTAATCACAAATAGTTTGTAATGTTAAACATGGGAAGAGGTTTTCCCAACGGGGACTTGGGAAAACGGGTGCATTGAATAATTTCTCTCATTTGGGGTTACTTCTTCATCCTCCACGTGGCGTAGATAGTATATTAGATATATTTTTTTTAAAAAGAATGAGCTTTGCTGAAACTTAAAAAAAGGTGGGTTTTTTAAAGTTCCATTTTTTATTTTTTCTGTTTTGCTAAAACGGAGTCTGGCAAATGCGTTTTCCAGAAAGTTCTGGGCGAGGGGAGAGAGCTCCAGGACAGAGCGGTGATGGATGGTCCTGCCCCACCATGACTGCTGCTGCTGCCTGTGCTGCGAGGTGCCGAGCGGGTGCCTTCTGGGCCGATGGGACCAGCACGGGGAGCACCTCTGCCCATGAAATCCCAGCCTCCCCAGGCGGCAGGTTCATCACCCTCCAGAGAGGTTCTGAGCGTGCATCTCACCGGCTTCTTTCCGCTCAGAGTCACCCACGCGCGGGGCTGCAGTAGGGTCTCAGCAGCCGGGGGTGGCTGTGTCAGTGCACCCCACGGACGGTACCCTTTCTTCAAGCCTCAGGTCAAGGGGAAGGCTTCTCTGACCTCCCTGACCAGATGAAGTCCCCACGGTCCCCGCACAGCCCCCTCAGAGCACAGCCTCTCTCCTCGGTGGTGTGTCCACTGCAGGGTACAGTGTGTGTGTGTGGGGTGGGCTAGGTGAACATTTGAAACATCCTCTATATGGGTGTATGTGTACCAGGTGGTGAAGTAAAAATATATTTCTTACCGCAGGTTGCGTAATAAAGTTGTTTCTCTAGAAGTCTTCCTTTAGAGTTGAGAAGGCCAAGGGGACTCCCCAGAAGCCAGATCTACAGACCTCACCCTCGTCTTGATTTCTTGTCCTATTTGGCACTGGGGTCCACCTCCTGTTTGAGTTTTTTTTTCCCCTCCCCTCCCCTCCCCTCCCTGGAGAAAGAAAGTCATGCCAAGCTGTCAGTGGTTTTTATTTATTTTTATCTTTTTGTTAATCCTCACCCGAGGATATTTTTCCAAGGATTTTTTAGAGAGAATGGAAGGGAGAGGGAAAGACAGAGAGAAACATCGATGTGAGAGAGAGACACATCGATTGGTTGCCTCCTGCACGAACCCTGACCAGGGCCGGGGAACCTGCAACCAAGGTCCATGCCCTTGACCGGAATCGAACCGTGGACCCTTGAGTTTGAGGGCCCACACTTTATCCACTCCACTGAGCCACTGGGCTAGGGCTGACAGTGATTTTAAAAGTAAGAAACCAAGAAAAAAGGCAAAATATATTCGGAGTAACTTGTTTTGTGGGCCTTGCAGTGGAAGGTATCATAGCAATCGCTGGGGGGTGGCGGGAAGGGTTAGGGTGGCGTCCAACTGCTTTAGATTTAAGGGTGAGGCCTTCATTGGCGGGGGGGCGGGGGGGGGTTGAGTACATGGATCGACTCCTTTATTCTCATCCTCGTCTGTAAGATGAGTGCAACACTGGCTTTGTGTTTGTTGTGCGATGTGATGGGGTGAATTATGCCCCCTCAAAATTCATGTTGCAGCTCTGACCCCTACTACAGAAGGAGACTGCTTTAGAAATAGGCTCTTCAAAGAGGCAATGCAGTTAAAAGGGGGTCGTTAGGGTGGTCCCTAAGATGACTGGTGCCCTTATGAGAAGAGGAGATTAGGACAGGGAGAGACGCCAGACACGTGCACACACAGAGGGATGACCATGTGAAGACACAGCAAGAAGGCGGCCACCTGCAAGCCGAGGAGAGAGGCCTCAGGAGCAATCAAGCCTGACAGCAGATCTCAGTTCAATCTAAGGAAGACTCTTCTGAGAGAGCCGTGGGCAGAAGTAACAGGCGTCCCCGGGAAGTACTCAATGGGGCTGGGTGGCCACTTCTTTGAAATGTCACAGAGGCGACTCAAGCATAGATCGGGTGTTTGGACCAGATACACTTGACCTTCCTTTCAATCCTGACATTCTCCGTACAAATGCATTGTGTTCCAGCTGAAGAACAGACTTCCGTGGTACTTAGAGGCATCTCTTGTGAATTGAAAGCCGTGTGCACCATCAACAGATATGTTTGAGCTTTGCTGATTTTTTTTTTGAGCTTTGCTGATTTGATGGCTATCAGAAAAGCTTTCGGAAATTTACTGAGGAAAAAAAATGAAATACATATTCAAACTGCAGAGGTCAGCCACAGGATCCTGGAAATGTGGAAGGCCAACCAGCTGAGATCCCAGAGCCCCAGGTACAGGCTTTAAGCAGCAATGAACTTGTGCTGGTCAGAATCTTCAACGGATTCTGGGCGGAACTGCCACCTCTCATTTTAAAAAGCAAAGATAAATATATAAATAAAAATGCCGAGTTTGAGTTGGCTCCTGGAAGTTAATCTAACCTGAAAGGATTTGTTAAAATTAATCCTAGTAAGCTGTAATTTCCCTACGACCACCAGTATGTGAGATTTTGGGGGGAAGTCGGTAGATTTGGCAGCGGTATCAGAAACATGGTATCCACAGCCACACATTGCTACAGACTATTGGGGTGCCACTGGTTTTGAAGTGCTGTCTGCCAGTATCAGCTCATCAGCGCACACCCCTTAACCATTGGTGGCTGGGATTCTGGCCAGAAGAGCCAGGCCGGCTGAGAAAGGCCGGTCTTGGGAGGGACCGCAGGTGGCCAGAGCCAGAGGGGATTGAGAGTCGCGCGCACTGCGTGGCGAGCACGGGCACCAGGGATGGCACAGCGACAGCACGACCAGGCGACCTCGCCCCACTGGCGTCTGGGAGAGCAAACACCCTGGATCCTCAGAGGCCCTCTCCTTGGCACCCAACTTTCTGCCGCGGCGCGGATCACTCTTCCCCTGACCACCAGAGGGCGCCCCCGGGCGGCGGTTCAGAGGGACCCGTGCGTCCCCGGGACAGGCAGGGCGCCTGCTGGTTCACCAAAAAGGTCAAAGAGCTAAAGAGCTGGGGAAGGGGGTGGGGAGGACACGCGTCCTTGGGGATCCAGGGGGGCACGCGGAACCTTGGCGTTGGGAAGGGGAGGGACACACGGACCACGACGCTGGAAAAGAAGAGACGGTAGCAATCGGCCCCTCCCCGCCCCTCCAAGTTAACCCTGTGGGTGGAGAGGGTCAGGGCGCGG